CAGTGAGGCCTGACTGATACACTGCCTTCTTAACAGATGACAAACAGCATCCAGAAAAGGAAAGATAGAGAGAGAGAAAGAGGGAGGGAGGGAGGGAGGGAGAGAGAGAGAAAGAGGGAGGGAGGGAGGGAGGGAGAGAGAAAGAGGGAGGGAGGAGGAGGGAGGGAGAGAGAAAGAGGGAGGGAGGGAGGGAGGGAGAGAGAAAGAGGGAGGGAGGGAGGGAGGGAGGGGGAGAGAGGGAGAGAGAGAGAGAGAGAGAGAGAGAGAGAGAGAGAGAGAGAGAGAGAGAGAGAGATTAAGAGCGCGAGAGAGGTAAACAAGTCAAAAAAACTGCAGACAAATGCATTATACACTTTACAAAATATATTCCAATTTTATAGAACTTGTTGGCTGTGTACAAATAACAGACATTTCCAGGATGAACAGCATTCCTTTCTCTGGCAGCTAGACAAAGGGAAAGCCCCCCAGTAATCCCATCCTTTTCCCAGTGTATATTCAAAATATGACAGAATATGACATCTGAGAAAAAAGAATTGTTCTTGTTCTTAGTGCTTGAAATAAACTGCTTCCTGACTAAGAATTGAACTAGAGAACTTTAAACTTTGTAACCTAAATCAGAAGTTTAATTTCACTATATATGCTTTTGAGAACTAAATTACACTTTTTAAGCATAGCTGGCTACAATGTAGCATGACAACACCTTCCACACTTTCGTGTTTTTAAGCAGTAGGCCTACATCATATTTGAGGTGTACTGTAAGTAAAACAGAGTTTATTTTCCATGTTCTTAGAATCATCTTTACAAATTCAAAGTTCACAGACATGGAGGATTTTTACGCCACTTTCTTTTAATTTTGCATCTGCTTTGCTCTTCCGCAACATTAACCTAACCAAACTATTATTTATGTGTGTTTTAGTGACACTGTTATTTTAAATACAGGGCATCAAACAATGCTATATCAGGCACATATGATTTTTACAAAAAAAAGTCACATTTACTCTTTTTCATTGCAAGGACTCAACTGATGCACATAACACGTTTAGTAAAATAGAACAACGCTTTAACTTAAACAGATGCATTAGTTACAAGGCCCACACTTACATTTAATTTAAATATGTACAGCTTTGTAAAAATAATGACATGAATACATAAAAAATCTAAATAAATATGATTAGCAGACTGATTAGCTGAGCAGTGTAAGTTCACCAACCTGTCCAGGGTGTATCCTGCCTTCCACCCAGTGACTGCTGGGATAGGCTCCAGCACCCCCCAGCGACCCAGTAGAATAAGTGGTTTCAGAAAAGGGAACAACTTCAGCTTGAATGCATGTTCTTTTCAGTTTACATATCTGTTCTTAGTCATTCTTTAAAGAGTGTTTGTGGTGTTGGTAAGCTTATTAATTATTAAAATCAATCATATTCTGAAATAAAACAATGACTGGGCTTATTGGAAATACATGTGGGAACTAAATGGTAGAATAAGCCTCTCCAGACTCTCAAAGCCCAATCATATTTTCTGTTTTTCATTTCATTGCTTTTTAAACAAATCTTTAAAAACCTGCTTGACTATGCTGAAAGAGAGGTTCATCTTTAATTCCATTATAAGATCACTATATAATAACATACAGCACTCTGTAAAATTTCAGTTCATCCCAAAGGTGTTCAGTGAGGATGAGGTCAGGGCTCTGTGCAGGTCAGGCTTTGAGCACAGAGGCACAGTCATGCTGGAAACAGAGAGGGCCTTCCCCAAACTGTTGCTACAAAGTTAGAAGCATATAACTGTCTAAAATGCTTTTGTATGCTATAGCATGAACATTACCCCTCACTGGAACTTAAGGTCCTAGTTCAAACCCTGGAGAGGACAGGCGACTGTTATGTGCATTGCAAGTCAGCATTTGGCGGCTTCGTTCTGTGAGTGGTGGCCCCGCTTTGTAAGTGGTCTATTTCAAAATAACAGCACTTACAGTTGACCGCTGACACATACTTATGGCCATATAGTGCTTACAACAAAGGACTGGAATGGAAACTGGCTTATACAGCTTTTATGTAATGCATTAAAAAAGCCAAATGGTACATCTCTATCTTCAGTTTCTGCTGCTGCAAAGTGCATTTATAAAATTGATTAAGTAACATTTTTCACTGAGAACTATTCTGTCTGCACTGGCCTACTACATGCTGACTGCATTTACTGGTTCTTAGAGTAGTCAGGACAGTTATTAAGAACTTGCACTTAATAAATGAGAGTACATTAATGAGACAGCATTAAACACACATAACATTTCTCTGAGGTTTTGCACTTGTGTAATTATGAGAAGACATCATTTGTCAGAGAGTGACCTATATCCTTGTCCTCAGCTCCTTCCTTCCACTCTCTGCTACTTGTTTTCCCTCTCTTTCACTCTCTATTCCTCTTTCCACTTCCTCACCAATCTCACACACTTCTCTAGCCATTTGAGAAGGTTTTTAAACACCAGCATTTTAGCTTAGATATGGACCAAATACCTTTTGTGGCTTGGAACTGCATCTCAGTTATTTGAGTAGTTCTTCTATCTTTTACTAGCTCCCACTAATTTGTGAATTGTTCTGATTAATTGACAGTAACTACAACAATAGTGTAATGCTAATCACTGTGATTACATGACACACAGAGCCACTGTGTATATATGCGTAGGTGTGTGTGCGCACACGCTGAGTTAGATAAAGAATGAGAACCCCTGACTCACTCTATTTCCACAGTGGGGATTGAGGAAAAGAAGGATGTGAGACAAAGCCAGAAAGACAAATGATGGAACCGATTATCTGAATACTTCTTATAGAAGAAGAAATAGTGGTGCAATAATAGCATTAATAGCAACAGAAATACCTACACTATACTATGCCTGCATATGAAAGTTGTAGTAACAAAACTTTTACTTCTCTTATCTCTTATTTATAATATGTGTGTATTTTAAATATTGTAAATAATATGTATTTTTCAGGACAGACACTCAACGGTTAAAATGTGATTTAGAAGGTGGGGGAGCACTATTTTTTCTCTGGGTGTCAACAATGGGGAAGAAATATGTTCATTTTATGTGGCATTTTAGGAAGTACTCGGGCAATGATGTCATGAAAATGTGATTAAAACATTATTTTTGTCTTCATTGCTTATTAAAATCAAATTACTTACTTGTCTGCTTTGGTATTAAAATCATATCAATATATCAAAACATTATCTAATTCTTTTCTGGCAAAGATGAAAGTCACACTAATAACTTTAACAAACTGTACCAAACAATGATGCCGCCCTTCGGATATTAAGAACCCTTGCCATACTTTTTTTTTAACTGTATGCTAGGAGCAGCTGTCTTCTGTTTTTAGAAGACTGGCAGTAGAGACAATACAGTTTATACATAAAACTTGTGAAATGGTTCACCACTGTGCACCACTTTACTGCCAAGTGTTCAATGCCATCTAATCAAATTTACTACTGAAAGTCCCAGTCTTCCTACCTAGTATAATATCACTAACCAATTTTGTTCTGATTAGCAACATAAATGTACATTGTACACTATTAGCTAGTTAGGTGCAAATACGAACACATTTAGCAACAGTCAGTTGGCAAAACAGTATCTGAAATATCATGCAGGCCTATTGTATAAACAAATATTTGATTTAGCTACCTTATTTATGAAAGCTGTATCTAGATACATGTCTATGAGACAAAATATTTTGAAATTACCTTCAAATGGGAAATAATCTAAGCTACTTAAAGATGAGGCATCACAAACAGGATTTTTTAGCTAATCATACATAAGGAAACAACAGGAAGGATTCAATATGTATCTAAGTGATTATATATTGATAGAACCATATGAAGAGGACATGTCAATGCCAAACACCAGAGTGAAAATGAACAACTGTTCAGAGATTTTCTGTGAATGCAGTGTGTCACATCCACTAGTTAAATGGATTTCAAGCAGACTGTATTAGAAACTATTTCACATGAAAGAAAGGGCTCCGGTCCAATTTAACCCCTGCCAATACCAATTATTAGTAAACAACGTGGCAGATAACTGATGCATGAGGTGATTTGCTTCTATAAATTTGAATTGTATATCCTCAAAATGTACAGAAACACAATTCCTACTACAAAACAAACACTGATGGAACATAATGAAGTATTACCACTAAACATTCAAACATTATAAAAATAAAGTGCTTAGAGCGTCCAGAAAGTATAAATGTTTGGAAAAGATGGGAAAAAATGTGAGTAAATAAAAACTGTTAACAGTGACACTGATATGTGTAAAAACCCCAGCATCACCACGTTGTCTAATAGACTCGTACCAGCACCAAACACACTGCCATGTCAGCGACATCGCTATGTTGAAAACGGTTCACACCTCAAATATCCTGGTCAACATTGGTCCTGTGGTAAGAAACTGACCAATGATGAATGGGGTAGAGGGTCACTAACAGATTGTGAATGACAATAGATGGACTACAGTCTGTAATTGTACACTTTCACTCACCCAGCACTTTATTAGGAACAATATTAATGATATAAGTAATATTTACATATCACCTTTCACAATCCCAAGGTCACTTGATACTGAGTAGGCCTCCCCTTCCTCTCAAAACAGCCTCAATTCTTTATAGCATGGATTCCACAAGATGTTGAGTCCCTGGATTCCTGATTTTGGTGCCAAATCCTGACCCTACTGTTCCTTTGAGATTCGGGTCCATGTTGACCCAAACCTATCCCTGTTGACATTCCCTAGAGCTGCAAGACTGTCTCTGCACTGCTGCCACACGATTGGCTGATTATTACATGAATGAGTAGGTGTACAAATGTTCCTAATAAACAGCTCGGTGACTGTATATAGTGGTGTACCTATAATGTAGGTAATCCTCTCAGCGAGTGGAAGAAGAAGGTAAGGGTTTCTAATAAAGTGGAAGGTATGTGTACTTCAACTGTAGTACTGCTGTATTCATAACAGTAGTACAGTTTTTTCTTACCTGTGCTACTTTGTATAGTTCTGACAGTAGTGGTGGTGCGAGGGGGTGAAATAGCCCGGAGTGCTGTTCTCTCCTCTTCTTCATCGTCTTGAGAGCAGCCTTTCTCGATGGCACGTACGTAGCTGTGGCTGCGCATCCGGAAGCACCCAGAAACCGGTAAATCCAGAGCATCAACAGCCTGAGACTCCATCTCGCTGAACACACTCTCACATACTGCTTCGATCTGCCCATTTACCTCTACTTCACTCACCTGTAGGGGGAGACACAAAACCTCATTCCTAGCTCAAAGTCCCACCCCCTTTGGCGCTAATACTAGAATCAGGAACAGAATGGCAAAATCATTAATACCTCTAACACACACTATCAATATCAAAATGACCCTGAATTTCTGAATTGTTATATTGGCCTGGCATACTCTACAATTATACAATCCTTATATTCTTACAGTGTATAAGATCACATTACAAACACAACACAAAGTATTCGACAAAACACAAGGGGTGCCCAAAGTGCTGAGGGAAGAAAATCTCCACTGATGAAAGAACACTACCAGATGTGGTTGCATTACCAGTGATCTCAATCCCTAGACCACAGTGTCAAAAAATGGAAGAAATCACGAAGTAGACATAAGAAGTAAGACTGTTATGACTGGATGTTCAGGGGAATATGTTTAGTAAACTGTGTTTTTTGAAGAATGCAGGGACGAAAGCAATGTGATCAGAGAGATGGGGGACCAGAAAGTAACACTTTCTTTCATAGTCCCCAAAATTCTAGGAATTAACCAAGTAAGTGTGAGGTACAAACTCCAAGCTCCAAGACAGTCTTACTGAGTTCCAACAAGTAAAACTCTGTTTCCAAAAAATTGGAACACTGTGCAAAATGTAAACAAAAACAGAATGCAATGATTTTCAAATCATTTAAACTGTATATTTGATCGAAAATAGTACAATGACAAATAGTACAATAAACATGTTTAAACTAATTTTTTTTTTCAAAAAATACATGCCAATTGTGAATTTGATGCCAGCAATGTGTTTCAAAAAAGTTGGGACAGGGGCATGTTTACCACTGTGTTGTATCACCTCATCTTTTAACAACACCCCTAAGCGTTTGGCAGCTGCGAAGACCAATCGCTGTAGTTTGAAAGTGAAAGGTTTTTCTGTTCTTGCTGAATCTTGATATAGAATTTCAGCTGCTCAACAGTTAGGGGTCTCCTTGGTTTTGTTTTTTGTTTAATAACGCACCAAACATTTTCAGTGGGTGATGGACCAGTTTAGCACCAAGATTCTTTTACTACGAAGCACTTCTGTTGTAATACGTGCAGAATATAGTTTGGCATTATCTTGCTGAAATAAGCAAGATGTGCGAGTAACCCATGTCATGTGCACTAATGCACCCCCATACCATCATGGATGCTGGCTTTTGAACCGTACAATGGTGACAAACCGGATGGTCCCTCCTGAGGGGGTGCGGCCTGAGGGCTCGAAGATCACAACCATCCAATATTGGTTTTCAGCCTTGTCCTTTACATACAGAGTTTTCTCCAGATTCTCTGAATCTTTAATAATATTATGAACCATAGATGATAAACTCCCAAAGTTCTTTGTTATTTTAAATTGAGAAGCATTATTCTTGAATTGTTGCACTATTTGCCTGCCCAGTCTTTCACAAAGTGTTGAACCTTTCCCCATCTTTACCTCAGAAAGACTTAGCCTCTCTGGGATGCTCTTTTTTTATCCAATCATGTTACTCACCTGTTGCCATTTAACCTAATCAGTTGTGAGATGTTCCACCAGGTGTTTTTAGTATTACACAACTTTTTTTAAATGTGCTGGAATCAAGCTCAAAATGGGCATATATTTTTCAAAAAGCAATAAAATTTCTTAGTTTCAACAATTGATATATTGTCTTTGTCTTATTTTCGATTAAATATAGGGTTTAAATGATTTGCATGTCATTGCATTCTGTTTTTATTTACATTTTGACCAGCGTCCCTTTTTTCTTTTGGAGAAGTGGTTGTACTAGGTATTAACTGGGCAAATGTGTGGTACATACCTGGTGCTTATCCTTAATTCAACTACAAAGTAAATCCACTATGTTATAGTCCTAGTTTTATTGGGGTACAAAAAAGTTTATTAAGCAGCTAACAGTAAGCTTAAGGGCTCACTAAATGCTAAGAAGCCAATAAAACCTTAGTAAGAATCACTTTTTTACCGGAACAGATTAAGTTTTGATTCAAGGTTACATACCAATAATACATTCTACATACTCTTGTCTTTGTGACATAAGAGTCTGTAACTACGTGTTTCTTGGAGGTTTTCTGAGTTACATTCCAGCTTAAACATGTGACATTATCAGAATATCTGTTGTTACTAACTTGTTACTCCAAATAATTATCATTTTGTTTTATAAATTACCTTTTTTTAAATTTTATTTAGTATGTTAGTGCTTGCCATTATCTACCTAGATACCACAGAGTAGAAATCCTAACTGGATAATTTTACTTGCTGTAACTACACAGCACTTTGAAATTTGTTCCTCACACTTACCCTGTTAAACTCAAATCCATGTTTTCATCTTTTGCTGGCACACAATGTGTGTGTACAAAGCATGTCCCGTTAATAACTTTACACTTCACAATAAATAATAATATAAAAACTGGGCAGTCCTAATCTCGGTTAGTACAGTAAAAAGACCTAAGCAGGTAAAAAACTTAAGCAGTGTCCTCACCCAATGTACCCAGTGTACTCCCCAATGCTTATGGCGAACAAAAGCTAACCCAGCAAGCACAACTGAGCTAGACAACATCCATTTGTCCATTTGTTTGTTGGTGTAATGTTTTTACTGAGTGGACAACTGAGAAATAAGCTAACACCCTCTACAGGAAACAAACTTAAATATGGCAGTTTCTGCAAATTTTAGTTCACAATTCTATCTATTTAATAGGAGTTTAACTTCATCATCATATCATAACATATGAAACTTTTGCACAGTGCACACTTTGTTTTATTTTTCCAATATATTAAATTCAGCTGTAATTTGCATTAAAATGTGCAGAAGTGTGCTGTCTGTAGAGAATGTGTTGCACACATTTGTATATATATTTGTATAAATATATTTTCAAATAAAAACATTTTAGATGCTTAATGCAAATGAGTAGACAGCAGGAAGCGATAGAGGGTCTACTGCGCTTTCATTCACATTTAAAACATGACTGAAGCATCCCTCATTCAGCCATTCAGCACTATAGCGTGCTTGACACTGCCTGTCACAATATCTGTGCTTATTTGTGGCATGCTGATATAACAGTTCTGATAAAACTCATACCTGAGAAAGAATTTCAACTAGTCATTTCTACATGCTTTGCTCATGCTGTTCAGTGCTTTAGTGAAGTTCTCATCAGAACATCAGGACCATGCACACACAGTTCTGAGGTCTGATCAGTCATTTTCAAGCCATGTGTCACGCATTCAGCAAACTTTGACATGGAGACGGACTCCATTTCCCAGAATCCTCAGGGAAGTCACGTGACCGAGCAACTTCCTTCCGACTCGGATGCAGACATGGACTCCATTGCCCACAATTCTAGGGGAGATCACATGACTCCTGACTCTCGCCCGTGCTCCAATCAGCGCTCAAACTCCCCAGAGTACTAACTGAGAACACCTGTGAACTTGATCATATGACTAGTTAGTCTCCTTTATAAGCCCGGGCTTGAGTTAGGTTCACTGCGAAGTATTGTATCGTTACGACCTACTGAGCGTTTGTTTTCTTACTGCCTGTATTTTGTTTTGCTGACCTACATTTTGTTCTTCTTGACTTAGTCTTTTGCCTGATCCCTTTGTACTGTTGCCTGATTTGGACTGACCCGTGTTTTGAACCTTACTGCCTGTTTTTGACCCTGACTTCAGCTCTGCCCTTTTTGCTTTGTTTGCTCGATTATATTAAAACTTGTCGTTTTTACATCCGCGAGCGTCTGTATTCTGTTGCCACATCACACCATGTTTTATTGCATTTCTGTCATGTTTTTTCATTCAAATTCTGCTGGATTTTCAACATAAAACATCATACAAACTTCATTACCAAAAATAATTATCTAGTACTAGTTTTTACCTAATGCTTACCTGGTTAATACCTAGAACTTTAGGAGACTGTAAATGAAAGCATTACATAGAAAAGCTGCAAATTTAGCAGGAAAATTATAGGTGTATGACTTGTGAACAGAAGTTGTGTGATTGGATGGTTGCAGATGTGAGAGATTCAATATAAAAGACTAAGCAAGTTTTGCTCAGTAACACACGAATATCTGCAAAACAGGCACCCACGCACTCTCATGCATATACACATACAACACTTGTTAAATGTTCGCTGATTCTAAAATAGTTCATAAACAAGCACTAATGGTGTTTCTTTTAAATATTGTATTTTTTTAATTTGGTGGGTAGGAATTCTCCTAAAATGACAAAAAGTAACTTTATTTTGAATATTGCCTTTACAAAATGTATCTTGGACTTAATACAAATACTTACTTATTCTAAATATGTATTCCCAATACTACTATTCTGTTACATCCCAACCCTTTTTACACACACTAAATACATATGTCCTTCTGGTCAAGAAGACACTGCACACAGCACAGAATCACCAATGTTAAAGGAACATATCCAGTGTTTATCAAGCTATTATCTATCTGCCACATGACAACACATGTACTGTATTATTGATGACCACAGACAATAATTTCAATATGTTTTCCTGTACTTAGAAAAAGACAGAAAACATATTGACTGAAACTGACTTTTAATAGAAGTCAATGGACAGCTGCTGAATTCCATAAATAAATATTAAAATTTTAAGTAAATTGTAAATGTAAGTAAATTTGAAGCTAAAACCATTACACTTTTACAATACAGGTTTTAGGATGAGAGAGACATGAGAAAAGGTCTTGCAAAAGCTGCTGATCAGGTAGTAGCCTGTGGAAACTTAACTTGAGCTATCTACACTAGATGGAGATTAGGTTAAAAACACCAGCATATTCCTTTAAAATCATGTTATAGAGGTGGCCGATCGAGACATGTCCATGTGCACACACACACACACACACACACACACACACACTATCACAATATGCAAATGAACAATGTTGAATTCAGGCCATATCTGAATGTTTTTTTTTTTGTGACTCATAAAATTGGTCCCACCCACTAGCAATCAAGACGTGATTGGTTGATTCTACTATTGCTTTCTAATTATGTTACAGGTTAATCTGACACGCTAGGCAGTTCAGTCCTAACTAATGGGAAAGCTAGCTTGGCTGTATCTTCCCAGATATCACAGAGTAAAAATCCTAACTGTATAATTTTCCGTTGGCTGTTTCAAGAATTTAACCTTTTTGTTTCACCAAAACTTGACAATGATACAATAAAGTTATTACTACAGTACTTGAAGAGTTTAAATACAACAACAGTTCCCGATGAGTGTTCCTGTAATTGATGAATCAAGTTATTCTTGTAAACCAACATGAGTAAATAATTTTCATCAAAATAATTTGCTATAGAAACTACAAAATATGTAGCAGTACAATCATATTAATAGTATTTTGGCCACAGCGTGCAGCCCTGACTCACACAATCATCTTGTTATGAAAATGTCCGAAAAACGTAAATGTAAACTGATTTGATGACAGAAATGGTGTATGGTCAGATCACAGAAGAGACCTGTGAAAGCAGATGGAATACTCTAAAGCATCGGGATATGGAGCAAAGCCAAGGTCTCTGGCACCAAAAGAGTGCCATGCTGTTGATTCTGGCTATATGCCTTTGCCTCGGTTCACTTGCTCTTGCTTTTTTCCTCCCCTCTGCACTTCTTTAAGGGACAGGTGACATCAAGAACGACTTCAGGTGGATGCTGTTCTTAAATACTGACCTAGGACCAGTTTTCCTTGACTGTTCTCTAAACTAGTGATTCTCAACCTGGGACGGGATGTTACAAATAGTGCATAGGCCTATGTATTTTCTAATACATTTTTCAGAATGACTCCTTTTTTTTTGCATGCATTGTGGTGCATGCACACACTCAGTTGTAACAAAAAAAAACAAAACCAAAAAAAAAACATTGTAACTAGCACAGCTGATGGTTGTGTGCAGCAGCACTTAGCCTAGCAGCTAACTTAACAGTTGACCTTTACCATTACTTAGTTTATAAAGTAGGTATTACGTTATTCAAAATGACTGAGTTGCAAAACAGCTACCAGATGTTTGCAAATATAAATAATTTACTTTTTATTAAAAAAAAAAAAATTATATTAATATTTTTTTTCGGCCACAGCTCAAAAAGCTGTAATCTGCCTCTTTCTAAGGGTCTAGAGGAAACTGGTCTCAGGTCAGCAACTGAGAGCAAGCTCCAGCCAAGAGGTGGGGAACAAAGGACCAACCTGGCTGATGGTGCTCATGGCCCGCATGTAGCTCTCATTTCTGGAGCGAAATTTGGGTGAGGACAGCAGGCCCTCCGGGTCCAGGCTGTCCAAACTGCGGTTGATGGACACCTCACTCACTGCTCGCAGGTAACTGTGGCTCCGGATCTGCAGCTTGGGCGAATGGGACTCCGTACTGATCCTGGAGAAAGAGAGAGAAAGAAACAAAGAGCAAAACAAACATTCTTAATTGTAGTAGTAAAGAAAAAACAGTTTTGATTTTGCCCTTGAAAGACTACAGGCTTTAACATTGTGATTGCTTATTTCTCCAACACTGATTTATTCAATGGTTCAGTGAAAAATCTAATTTAGACAACTGCCACCTTACCCAAAATGCAGTTGATCAGCGACAAATTTGAGACTTTGTCTGATGCCTGAAATTTACGTCTTTGCACTGGCTCTAATAGGCTAAGGTAGCTTTGAGATTGTGCAAACTGCACATTTAAATAATCACACACTTGTCTCAAACCATGTTAAATTATAAAAAGGTTTCCTATAGACTTGCTTATGTGGTTTTTAACATAGTATGACATAGCTAAAAACCATAAGAGCAGCTGTGTAGAAGCATGGATTTTGTCTGTAATTTTGACCATTTTTTCAGATGGTAGTTTGTCATACAGTGTCAGAAAGCACATAAGTAAGTCTATTTGAGATTGCTTAAAACTTGACATGGTTTGAGGCAAGTGTGTGATTTAGGCATGCAGTTTACATGATATTAATGGGTAGCAATGGGCTAAGAGTTGGTGAACTAAGAGTAACTAAGAGTTATATACAGTTATACCTTCTTGTATTTTGGTCGTATTATGCGATTTAACTTTACATTTTTATAGTTTCTCCTGTTTAACGGTACTGTTGTTTTGCACCATGTCCAAAGTGTACATGGCCCCTGTGTAGCTCATGTGTAAGCTAACTGACATGACAATTTTTATACATCAGCACCAAAATCACTAATGCTAACATTTACTGTGGAAAAACGTTAAAACATACCAAAGAAATTACCGCAACAATGTAGCAAGTCATTCCAGTACCCAAAATAATAAACATTACTAAGCTTAATAACTACAGGTCATCATTGGGCCTATCCTAACATAATCCATAACCATCGGTTTGGTTCCTCCACCTCACAAGAATAAGTCAAACTGTAGTGCACAATCAGAACAACGGAGTGGATCACTGACTATAGCCTGTCCCCCTTTCACTCTGGACATCATTTCTTTCAGCCACTCCCCTCTGGTAGAAAATTCAGGGCCATCAAAACCAGCACAACCAGACACACTAAGAGCTTTTTCCTCCAGAGCTGTGGATCTCATTAACCACAGTGGAGACCTTGAATTTTAACTTAAACTGAACCCAACAGAACACCCTTAGTGTATTACAGTATAACTCTCCTGTAACAAAATGCTTATTTGTAACTGTGAAAATGCTATACAAAATGTTCATGTCCTTCTGCAATATTCTGTGTATAATAGTTATTATAATATAATATAATATAATATAATATTAAATTCAATACAATAATAAATAAAAAGTAAAAAAATAAAGATCAGTTAGCTAGCTAACTAAGTAGCTTTTTTGCAGACTGGGACTGTACAGTGTATAGAGTACTGTATAAAGATGAATATTAATATACTCACACATGTACCATCCCTTCCATTGCTATCATTGAGGTTTGCTCCTTAGCTCTGACACAAAACTTGCTGTTTTAATATAAACTAGCTAAAAGATCTCTTTGGTCTGATTGACATTAAAATGGTTTAGAGAATACTTTTTTGCTTTAAACTGTCTTGCATTCATATGTTTCCACTGTTCTGTGTGTTTCTAAATTGCAACAGATGCTACCATATGACTCCAAGGTCTATGCTGAGTGGAACGTTTCACAGACACAGCAACAGTAACTAACATACGCAGGACTTGTCAAACTGTTTAAAGGATTTTAAGTGAATGAAGCTCAGTCAGTCAGATCATAGAATCTGAACTCCATTTTTAAAAAAATAGCTAAACCACCACTTTATTTAAAACAGCACAACTGAGCACTGACCTTTCTAAGAATCTTGTAATTGAGGTAAATGACAACAGACACACTGGGCCATTTTGCAGTACCCTTGAAAAAAATTGGGTTAAATATTTTGCTCAACATTCCTTCTGGTTCATGGATTAGAGCTGGTGCCCACTCAGACAATATGGGGGCAATGTTGTTCCCTTAGAGAAGGTCACCTTCAATTACAAAACCCACAGTCAAATCTCTAACTGCGTGTGTGTCCAGTGTGCAGTCACAGACAACTTGGAATGCTGTCACTCTCATTTTGTTGCTGCAATTAGAAAGCCTCCTTTCTTTTTCTCCTTATACTGATCAAGTTGTGAACTCAAAGCTCTCTCTCCATATGCTTCCCATTTCTGTGTGTGTTCGAAGGGAAATTGGATTGTTCTTAGGCCTTATAGTATGCCTAATGTGATCTATCAAGACCATGACTAATTTACGTTCGCATAAAATGCTAAATACCATGCCTGAGAACCTTGAAGTGAATGATTCTTACAAATAACATCCCTATTTTTGAGAGAACATTTGTATCTGCTAGAGCTAATGGACATTCACCACTCAAACACATACACTCTCTGTCCCTCTAGGTTGGCTATGTCTTAATTATGGATGCGGCTCTTAAAATAGAGTGTGGTTACAGCAGCGAGAAAAAACACATTATTCATTCTCCACTGGAGTATGGGATGGGGAAAAGGAGAGAAAGGAAGAAAGAGATAAGAATGAAGAATGAAGAAAAGATGATGTTCATATGCTATACAACAACAGGCTTTAGAGGAGAAAGTAAATCAACAAAAAGGCTGGCAAACATTTGAGGGAATTACACAAACTACGTATAAAAATGAAAAGTATTTTGGGGAACATTAGAAGTGCACAATGAATACTTTAATCCTGCAGACAATGATGAACTTACAACCTTATGAGAAAAGCACATACTATACATTGACTGAACAGGACTGAGAATTCATGAGGCTCAGCCACCTGCAATTGTTTCTTGAGGGGTCAGGATATGAAGATGGATGGCAGTTTCAGCAACACTAACTGTGATTGATGAATACATGCTGCTAGGAAGTGAAAGGGAATATGTGACAGAACCTGGTTCTGAAAGGCAGTGTAAGCTCTAAATTCCTGGACCAAATTGTAATTGGATGGGCTCACTACTGCAAATTTGTTGGAACTCTTTTAAACAGTTAAGGCCAGGATTGAGAGCAGATTTAGCAGACAAGGTCTTGGTGTCTTGATGTTCAACTGGATATCCAAACAAATTCGGACATTACCTTATTGCCAACCCATGGTATAGGATTTCTTCCTAGTATTCACATTAACTGGATCTCTGATTGGCCTTGCTTAGCCAGTTACTTAAAGCCTACGCACATTAAGCTCAGACATTAGTCAGGTGAAGTTAGGTAGCACTGGGAGAGTCAAGGTTAGCTAGGGTGGTATTTATGACAGCTTCTCTGCAGTCAGTGCTACCGTGGAGACAATATCAGAGATGCCCATCTCTAATGAGCATGCTCCTCAGGGCATAGTCATGGCAGGGTATTATGTAACTCAACATGCAATAATAAGCAGAGATGAAAAATGTGTTATCATTTGTTTCTGTGTGCATGCTCTACAGTGTGGTTATCTTCTGTGTTCTTTGCATTCATTCTTCTGCATTTGTAAAAGCCTTGTAACTTATATTGCATTTAAACACTTCTAATGAACTACTAGAGCTGTTAGAGATGTTAAAGCAGTTTTATGCATGCATTTAAGCATATGCATATGCCTGTGAAAAGAGTCACAGTTCTTCCCTATCAATGAAGCTCTAGGGTAGTTTGCATGTAAATTAAGAAGACTACAGCAGATATTACTGAACACTGAATATGGTCACAGCAGCCCCTTATACAATTATGGGCACCTTTGATAAAGATGGGGGCACTGTTTATCAGCTTGACTTCACAATAATAATATAAGAGAATTCTAACCTTCTATTGAAAAAATAATTATATTAAATAATTTAAAAATAATTATTAAAAAAACAGGCCCGTACAAACAAATAGTTTGTTGGCACAGAGATAGTGTCTAAGTGTAGTTTGGAGAGTTGGTATCCCCTAGAAGCAAACCCAATTTACAATTCCTGCAAAAGTTCAATTGAAGAAAGATGTTTAAGAAAGAAAACCCTTCTCTAGTTGGACTTTTGCAGGAATTGGTTTGCTTCCACAGGGATACCAAGTCTCCAAATTACACTTAAATGCTACCTCTATGCCAAGGAACTACTTGAAAAGTTTGCCAGAGGAAAGTCTCTGCCTGGAGTTTTCTTAACATCATTGAGACTGTGATCTGAACCAGGTTCTATAGTTAGATGAGACAACAAACACCAGAGATGTGTTTCGAGTAAAAAGTAAAAAAGACACTAATCCCCATTGTAAAGTATGGTGTTGGATCAGTGATGTTTTCCTTCCAAAACCCTGGAAATCTTATTCTTATCACAAATGCCATCAATAACAGCAGTTTTTAGATCAAAATCTGGCTAGCTCTGTCAGGAAGCTAAGACTAGTTTATGGATGAATTTTCCAACAGGTCAATGATTGAAAGTATCCCCCCAAATCCACAAAAAATAGATTACTGACCATAGAATCTAGCTTTGCACTGGGGATCACTGGCCTAAATCCCATTAAAAACCTCCAACTCTGGCACATATTTTTGAGATTCAGACATTGCTGCATTGTTATATCATAATATAGGATGTCTTCCTAATATTCACATTAACTGCAACTCATAAGATCTCTGTTATGAAAACGGATTGACCTTACTTAGCTAATCACAGAGGTCAATGCATATTAAGCACAGACCGTAGTCAGGTTCAGTTAAGTGGTAATGGGTTTAGGTTAGCTTAGCTAGGATGGTATTTATGGTCACTCTTTAAAGGGAGAATGCATGAAGTAACAAATGTATGCATGCCTATAACTGTAGCATGTTTTGGAGAAAAAAAAAATATTATTTCATTATTGCAAATTCCTAAGAACTCTTCTCTTATGATCCAGTTGGTATGAGAAGTTCCAGACAGACAGTTACTTAAAGTTAGGGCTAGAAGCGGATTTAGCAGTGGCTAGCTTGATGTGTAGCTGGATAACCAAACAAATTCAGACATTACTGCATCAGGATTGCATAGTATAGTATTTTTCTAGTGTTCTAGCATTCATGTAGACTAGGATCTCTGTTAGGAAAACAGATTGGCCTTACTTAGCCAGTCATTCAATCCTAGACATATTAGGCTTAAATGTTAATAAGGTGAAGTTAGGTAGCACAGAGTTAGTGAAGGCTAGCTAGGGTGGAATTACAACAGCTCCCTTGAAGTCATGTCACTGTAGTGACAATACAAGAGGCAAAAAAGCCTGCCTCAGCAGTATTAGAGCCATATATGTCCTGGAAGTCAGGCTAGATTCCCACTAATTGAACGGAAGCTGCAAACAAACTCTATACATTCAAACCAGAAAAAATACATTTCAACACTGAAATTCTGCGTTCAGACGCTGACAGTGTTTTCCACCCAAAATCCCATTATATCCTATGGCAGGATAACACAGGCTCTGCTCATTCCATTGTGGAACACGTTTTTTCCCCATGGATCGAGTTAAAAAAATGTTCTACTTTTAGCAGAAATGCTCTGCTTATCATATCACTTTTCACAGTGTAGCCAATCAAAAAGTTTAAAAATGTTAAGCTCTGCTCATCATGTATCACTTTTCACAATGTAACCAATCAAAAAAAGAGGGTGGGTAAAACTGAACCATAGAGTGAACACAGGACTGTACAGTACAACAGTCACATTAGCGATGTAAAAAATATTCAACTTAAAGATAAATATTAACAGTTATAGTAATTATATTACTAGTTCATCTATAGTTTATTCTTATTCATTCATTATTGTTCAACAATGCAAACACGTCTCCAACATCACAATACACTGTGTTAGGAAGGTGTGACCTGGTGGAGGTGCCACTGCTCTAATGCAGTGCTGCCTCTGCTGTGCTATAAGAAATTTACTAACAGAAGACAGGATTTTGCCCAAAACTTCACTAAAAACATTAGACCTCATTCAAAATCTGCAATATGGCTACAGAGTGAAGATATCCATAGAATATGGATTTGTCAGATGATTTTTACCAGTTAAAACAAAAAAAAGATTGATCTCTCATTATTCTTATATATAGTTCCTATAAATCTGACTTTTATAAAAAAGGATGTATTACTAAATAAGGGAAAAGAGAAAGAGAAAGAAAAAAGAAGCTGAACGAGACTGACAGGGCTAAAAGAGCAGATCTGATGGAGATGAAAGTTAGGGAGAGTTGTTTAAGCTTTCAGTTAAAATTAACAGCCTTCACTCTTCTGAGTTAACTTTCCACACGATTTTGGAGTATGTTCCTCCACTTGGTCTTGGTTCCTCTCAAGCTTTCTTCCTCTTACTCTTAGGAAGTCTTCCCTGTCAAAACAGCCCCAGACCATTATCTCTCCTTCACCAAACTTTATGGTTGAAACTATGCATTCTGGTAGGTAGTAGTAGCAGTCTCCTGGCGTGCACCAAACCCAAATTCGTCCATCAGATTGCCAGATAGAGAAGCAAGATTCTTCACTCCACAGAACACATTTTCACTCCTATAGAGTCCAGTGGCAGCCTGCTTTACACCGCTCTGGCCAATGCTTGGCATTGTGCATAGTGATCTTAGGCTTATGTTCAGCTGCTCAGCCAGGGAAACTCATTCATGAAGCTCCCAAAGCACATTTCTTGTTTTGATGTTGCTTCCAGAGGCAATATGGAACTCTGTAGTGAGTGACGCAAGAAAAGGGGAGATTTTTATGTGCCCTTCAGCACTCAACAGCCACTTTTTGGCTAAGCTGTTGTTTCTCCTAGATGCCATAATAACACTTACAGTTGGGCTCCTGTTCGAGTACGATCTCCTGTGAAGCTACAGCCATCCTTTGCCGGAAGTCCAAGAGAACACAACTGGCCTCGCTCTCCCTGGGTGATTTTATACACCTGTTAGCAATGAGTGTTACTGAAATGCCTGAACTCAATAATTACGAGGGTTGTTCTCATACTTTGGGCCATATAGTATACATGCCACAATCACACTTGCCAGCCCCAAGACTATATATGCCTTATTAAATGCTTATCACAAGGCAATCATTATAATATTAGACTAACAGTTATGACATCTAAATATCTTACATTCAATAGTCATAATCTGGGTTAGGTGATTACTGTAAGAAACTTAGCAGTAAAAAACAGAAATCTTAAGTAACATAATGACACACATTCCCTTGAAATTCCCTTGAAACTACTACTTTTGAATTTTTTTAAGGGATGAAAGTAAAAGGATTTTGCCTCTGAATACAACAGGAACACATAAGAAATGTGCTCATAAGAAATTATTTAAAGTAAGCATGTGTGTGAGTGAGAGAGAAAGAGAAAGAAGGACAGAGAGAGCTGGCTGTATTTCAGAGGTGCAGGGTTTGACAAGTAGGGCAGGTCCAGTGGGGCTTTATTAATACTGAAGAATAGCAAAAAAGCCCATTTAGTTCTTTGGAGGGTCTTGTTCTCCCTCTAATGCCACATTGGTGACAGCCAACAGAATACTGTCACGTCCACAACTGCTTCTCTCTACCACCAGCCTATTGCCTTCAACTCTTTCTCAATTGTCCAGCAAACGTTTCTTATCAAAGCCAATAAGCTGTAACCAATACAACCTCTGGGCTTACTATTTCTTTGTATAGAGTAAGTTGTGTTATTCATGTTGTGTTTGTTATTTCCTGTTCAAAGTCACTTTCTAAAACGTGTTTTAACATTACGCCCATTTTGAACACAAGTTCACAAACTGGAACAGTTGTAAAATAGTCCCTGCATTCTTTTAAAAATTAGGGGAAGCTGAAAATCTCATTGGAAAATCTGAGGTAGTAAACATGCCAAATGCACGTTTTAATGTCATAAAATCTAATATGATATGCTCTCAGATTTTAATGTCATAAAATCTAAGAGCATATTATGTTCCTGTGATAAGGAGGCTTGAGTGACCTTCTAAAGCTAGCATCTCAGTTAACTTTAGAGCTAATGCTACAGCTAGCATTGTTGTTCAATGTAATCTAATGAGGGGTATAAAAAAAGCTTTATAAGGCTTTATAAGTAGCCACAGCAAATTTATCACTGTTAGCATGACGATAGTGCCCCAATAGGCCATTATGTCAGTGCCAAGTTAGTGGTGGTGTATATTCACATTTTATGGCAGCTTAACTTACTGGCAATAATTTTGCCTCAACCATACTTGCATGCTTGTAGCGTCTCTGCTTGTGTATGGCCCTTGGTTTGATACAAATGCTCCAGATGTTCATACGTCCAAACTGTTTGCCTGATCATTACATGTGATTTTGGGTTTGGTCAATGGGGACTATTTCTGCAGCAATTACAGCTGTCTTTTAATCAATGCAGTGTGTTTTGTCTGTTCAAATACACCTGGAATCAGGTATGACAGATTAAGGAAAAACACCAAACTGGCAAGCACACAAACACTCACTTCAGCGTGGTCATCTCTGTGAGTGATGGCTGTGTGGCCTTCAGATAGCTAGCTCTCCGTGCTTGGGCCTTGGGTGAGGGCTTGGGGCTGCAGTCTGAATCTCCGCTGTCATCCTCCGCCATAGCCTTCATGTAGCTGCCGCTGCGCATCCGCCTGCACGGGATTTCATCATCCCGACCCAGAGCAGAGAAGCCACTCCACTCATCCTGAGGTACCTGAGAGAGAATTAATAATACATGCAACATGAACTTTACATAGAATGTACTTGTTAATCTGTAACAACATAAAATGTATCCGAATTAGGAGCCAAAGTGCATTGTGTTTAAAATCTAGAAAACTTCTTTTCAAGACCAACCTGACCACATGGAACTATACTCAATACTCACTGATAAACTAACAAAGACAGCAGATCTGCTACACCCTTTGGACACATTTCATGTTAACACCTGCATGTCAATGAAAAAACGTTTACTTATAACAGCTAGATAGCCGTGAATGCACACCTGTACACTGCATTGGTCATACTCTTGTTACACTAAACACACACCTTTCAAATGTGCCCACTCAATCTACAAAGACAACAGTTGCACACATGTAACAAACATTAGTAATCGCACACCCTCGCAAACAAATCCATGGCTCACAATTTTCTCACCTCTCTAAGATGAATGACAATCATATTATCCACCTGAACAGCAGTCCTTTACCCAACCAGTGTCCCCCACCAGCATTCTGACTCGCTCTTAGAGTGAGTTAGTGAGCTAGTGCCACCGGTGACGTGTGTGGCATGCTAACTATACCAGAGGGCCATTCTTTTCAGAGCGCTTTGCTCTTTTTCCACACACTTTGCAAAAAAAGGAAGCCAACAACCTATCCCCGTCATCGAAAGGTGAAAAAAGAGAGTGAAAGAGAGACGGCACAGGAGAAACAAAGGTCTCTGTTGTCCCAGAAACTAGCAAAAGATCCTGTCTGTAAAGAGAGAGAGTTTTTTTAAAGAGTACAGGATTGAAATGAGGAAAGAGAGAAAGAAAGAGAGAGAAGCAGGTATCTGAATGGTCACTTTATGCTCCCTATGAACACCACTGTTGCTATAGTAATGACCCTGACCTTAGCTTCACTGTCAAGTTTGCTACGTTTTCCAATTATGATGTTTTATATTGCTAAGTTTGCTAATTCTACTTGCTAAGCATGCTAATTCAACTGCACAACTCCTCTCACATCTGGAAGACTTTCTCTAAGGTTGGTCAATATAGCAAAAATATTTCAAACTATTTATGTACAAAATATGTATCATAATATTTAGTATTTCTGAGGTTTGCGAACATGGACATGGAAAGGCTATCACAATACAATAACATCATCTTGCCCACCCTAACTTTCCCCATCTCTTCTACTGGCTCTCTCAGTTCAATTTCACAGGCTTTTTTGGCAGAACTTTTTTTTTTCATCATACTTAAACAGTCCTCATCCCTCTTTCTATCTCTCGTCCCCTAATGTTATTCTTTTGCCTTTAAAGAACGTTTTCACCTCCACACAAACGTTTCACTTCATCCCTTCTTTGCCTCCCTTTTCTCAATTTAATTCAATTTCTACCACAATTTTTAGAACAGACATTGTTGCAGTTTTCAAATTGCCATATCAGGAAAAACGAATTTCCATGCTTTTTTTAAGAAAAACAATGTGATATAGGCTACTATATAAGCACTGTTAAAGTTTCAAAATGTACCGCTAAGATCCCAGTCAACGCAGTGCTTAAAAGGAAACTAGGCTGCCAAAGCAGCCCTTTTTGAATTCAAAGTTGTGATGTCATAACTGTACACACTTTTACACACATTTATCGTTTCTATCTATCGTTTGCAAAGGATTTAGACATCTGAATGGAGAGACGTAAGCTTATTAGGCAAAAAAAAAGGTAACCTGGAATAAAGGCACTTTAAATGAAAGCCTACATGCTGCCTCTTCTTGGTCTCTCACTTTAATTCTCTCTGTTGTCCACCTCCTCTTTTGTTCCCAGGGGTTTTTATCTGTCTCTCCACTCCACCTTTTCTTGTAGTGTTCACACACTCCTTGCTCCTGTACTCTCTCTTTCCCTCCACCTGCCTCTCTGTAGTTCAGCGCCTCTGTTCGTATTCACCTCTGGGAGTTATTTACCTTCTCTCGCTGTTCTTAACATTACCTCGCCTCCAATTTTCCCTGCTTGCACTCCTGCTTGGCCTGTGCCTCCCTCCTTCCCTTCTTTTTTTTTCCTGGAGCAGAAACAGAGCCTCAGATTCATGAAGAGAGAGGGCATGAGCGTGAGAGAGAGAGACCCCCCCTCCCTTTTCATCTTCACACTAACAGTCATGGTGCTCCAGGGCTGTTAGTATGCTCTCTCTTTGCCCTCTATTCTCTGCTTGAAGTTTACGAAACCTCTATCATACGCTTTCAGACCGTAAAGAATAAGGCACATCATATGCTACAGTTAAGCTACAGTAACAGCAAGGTTCATATAAATCTGGCAAACAGCAGAGGTACAAGTTCACACTGAATTCATCAACCAATATCACGTGCTAGCAATGCATGGTAAAGCACAATAAAACTCAGTAGGCGTGGGTTCTATGCCGGTGTTGACACTGTCAAAAGTATAAACGCTGTGCATATGACTAAACTTGAAGCTGACCTGTCAAGCAGTATGGCCAAACCAGTTTTATTGTTAGGCCACAGAGGAACACTTTATCCTATGGAAAGAATTTAGCTAGCTAACACAGAACCAAAACAGACCACTTTTTTAGATACTGTTCACATTCTTAATGGTGACCACTGAGAATCTTTTTTTAGTTTGAGACTTCGTAACATTACTTTGTCAGTCATCTGCCCAACAAGGCACTACAACAATTATGTAAAAAAACAAAAAATCCGCCAAAAAAGACCTTTGACTGTTGAGCAGCGAGAATCCTACATCAGACAAGAAAAGGACAACATGCCATCAAGTTCTAAAAGAATTAATGTTTTTCACAAAATGGTAAAATGTCTCACTTTCAACATGTGATATGTGTTTTATGTTCTATTGTGAATAAAATATGGGTCTATGAGATTTGCAAATCATTGCATTCTGTTTTTCTTTACATTTATTTACATTTTACACAGCACCCCAACTTTTTTGGAATTGGGATTGTAGTACTTGTTTGAAAATGGTGGTGTTAATATATGTTGGCATTATGAAACAAGATCAACTTGGACGATACCATTTATTTTTAAGGTGCTTCTGAGCATCATATCTTTTTAATGCTTGCCAAGGAAATTTTTGTGTGTGAGTGTGTGTATTTAGTAGTACAAGCAGAGGAGTAAGAAGTAAGTGTACAGCCCTGTTGGTCCATTATTTAAAATTGATGACTGCCTTAAAACAAAAATAAAACAAAATTAAAAGGATTCTCAATGGTCAGCATTCAGATGTTCTGCTAACATTCGGAATCTAAACATCCATCCATCCATCATCTAAACCACTTATCCTTCTGGGTCGCGTTGGGGTGCTGGAGCCTATCCCAGCTGTCATTGGGCGGAAGGCAGGATGGAATCTAAACAGTTTTTGAAAAAAATAATCCAGTGGTCTTTTTGGTTCCATATCCACTGACAAAGTTCTGAATTTTCCTCTTTAGCCAACTAAACACAGCAGGCCAGATTCATAAAAAGCACTGGCAGATTTACAGTGACTTTAAGAGCAACCAGCACTGTGGTAACACATTTGCTCATTAATAAACAAGGATTACCTGTGTGTTTACCGTTTCTGTGATGCAAGGCGATGTGAGGCGATTTGAGGTGTTGCTGCATTTTTTCTTCATTTACATGTGCCGGTAGCAATTCACAGCATGATACAAAGGAGGTCATTTTCCCTAGTAAGAAGCCAATGTGGATTAAACTGAACTTTCTACAATGTTTCTAAACATGTTTGGTGACACATGCAAGTAACCAACAAATTGCATGTTTGTGAATCCCCCTCCTGTGTATGGTAAGTAGGTCTAGCTTGAAATCCAAATAAGTGAAGAGTAATTTGACATGTTGAATTTTTACATTTTACAATCTTTTTTTTTTAATTTTCCATGGATTTTACAAAGGAATGCAATTGACATATGTGAAAATACCATTCACTATTTTAATCAACTTTCCTGCTAATACAAAAGATAAAAAAAAACTCCAATGTTTTCCTGTCAAAATTTATAACCAAGGATGTGCAAAGTAGCAGCAATAAAATATAACAAATCTAAATCAGTCTTCCTTTAATCAAGTAAATAAAAAAAATCTAAATTTAAACGTTAAATTTAAACAGTGCAGTCTGTGCTCTGTGCATTTTGCTGTCTGTCTACACTTTGCTGCAACTAAATTTTACAAATCACAGGTCTTTATCCTGTGAGATGCCTGATCTCCTCTGAGAGCAGATATTACCCGCTGCAGAGGAGATGCGCTGTGATGGAGCGGATGGGAAAGTGGAGAATGTTTGTGACAAACCTGTTCTCTATGAACAGTTACATTTGAACGATTTTGTGTAAACGCTTAATTTCATCAGTAACCCTTTGTCGAGCTACCCTGTGTGTTCACGGAGAACTACCTCCATAAACTGTTAGCGAGTGGAGCTAAACGTTCGCGGAGAACAGAAACCTGTTTGGAAACGCTCTCCTGTGTTCGCGAAACTAAACGCACCGGCAGCCTCGACGCTAAGACCACGATGCAGTGTTGAAACTGTAAACGTTATCTGGAAAATGAACAGAGTCGCTGTGAATAATAGTTACTTGCTTCTCTGTTACAACTCCATTAACGATTCCAGAGAACAGCATTTCGAAACAGAAAATGTTAGTTCAGCTCACAACATGTAGTAGAACGGATTTTAACATTAACATTAGCTAACTAGCTCGCTAGCACAACTATCTCCGCGTCCCAAACCACACACTTCCGTACTTCACACACTACACTAATTAGTGCACTTCTAATGGTATATGCGCTATTTTTACACACTATGTAGTGTGCTGGTATGCGATTTGGGACGCGGCGTATCTTACCGAGATGAATCTTCTTCATCCATGCCCCTGTAAGCTGACAAGTTTCCTTTTCAGATGCTCCTGCATGGAGGATGTGCTCCTGTGCCAGCTAAGGTCGGCATTACAAATAACACATCAGGCAACCTTTTTTTCTGAGTTTAGCTCCACACTTTTGAGGATTTTGTTCTTGACGCTGCCATCGCGCTGTAGTTAACTCTCCAGTAAACTGTAATGTCAAAACGTTCCTAGTAAGCGCTAGAGAGATGCGTAATGACGTCACCGACTAATCGACTACTACATTAGTTGCCAACTAATTTGGTCGTCGATTTTAGTCGACTAAGTCGAATAATCGTTGCACCCCTACTCATGCGCCTACGTCTGTGCATGCAAGTTTAAACTTAAAGGAACAGTGTAATACAGTAATATATTTACTGTACTAAATCATAATATGATCACAATATTGTGTCAGAGATTTAGAAAACATGGCTTCACAGACAACAGGGCCACAGCCAGCATGCTCTCCTTTGAAATTTCTGTTACGGAGCGGGAAAGTCTGTTTATGTTTTGGCCTGTGATCCCGGCCACCGCCCATTTGCCAGTACCACTTCACATCCTGAGTTGCCAGATTTGAAACAAATTGGCAGGCAAACACAGTGCATTGCAGCCATGGAAGCAAGCAAACAAACTGGATTCCGACCAAAAAGCCTCTGCATCCTCCTAAAAAGCTCCATGACCAGAGACGTAGTAAAATGCAAGAAAATATTGGCGATGCATTTGATAGATGGAGACAGGTTAGAGCCCAGGAAGACTTTGCTAATTTTCTCCTGAACAGGAGGAGCAGCACTGAGCTTCAGCTAAGGTAGGCTAACCTTAACTAATGTATTACAGCTACTAGTAGGGACAGGCATTTTAAGCAATTTCAACATTCGAGTAGATGCATTCATATTCTGTGGTGTGCAGCTGGGTTATCGAGGAAGACGAGGCTGAAGTTCCTATTCGCCAGCTTCTTGTTCACATTTTCACGTTCCACCTTGAAATACTGCATCAGTTACATGCTGGAATCTTATGTAACTGCTACAGAATTGAAGGTGGAACGGAAAAAAAAAAAAAAAATCAAGAAGCTGGCAAATAGGCTGTGGTGTCAGAATGTAAGTGCTGCAACATTTAAGGTGGAACAGGAAAATTCCAACAAGAAGCTGGCGAATAGGCTGAGGTACCAGAATGTAACTACTGCACCATTTAAGGAGGAATGGCAAATTCGCACAAGAAGCTGGCTGACTTCAGGTTCTTCAAGGTAGCAAGTATTTTTGGTAGGCTTTTGTTTTTGGGACAATGGGCTTAAATTTGGCTACAGTGCATAGCCAGCCATGCAACCAGTTAATTTTGACAAGAGATGTAAAAAAATCCACATCAACTGGTATATAATTTGCTAACAGTAAAACTATTGGAAACATATACATTAGCTGATCAACTTATTGTATGACTTGCCGTCACTTGCTACTTTCAAAGTTTAATGTTGTCAAAGTGTAACGTTATGTTCATTTCGTATAAGTTCAGTGTCCTCAACCCGACAACTTGGGTGAGCATCAAGTCTAGGGAGGAGGGGCTGGGACAGGCAACTCTCTCCAAAATTTTGAATTTGGACTTCAGTACACATTTTAAACGCTTGCTATCAGTATTACATATTGCTCCTTTAAAGACTCAACTATTTTTGTCACATTAAAAATAAAAATTAATACCTGACAGTGTAGAACTGTCCCATGACATAAAATTCAACTAGACCTGTTCATAAGATGATCCATGTGAGTGTGAGTTGAGTTTTGAGTCTTTAGTAAAGAATTTTAGTTTAGTCACTGTGCAGTAGAGCTCGGCGATATGGCCAAAAACGTTATCACGATAAACAAAATTCATATCGTTCGATATCGATACATATCACGATAAATGTCAAATCATGATTTCTTTCACGTTTGAAGGCTGATTTTGCTCCTGGGTGGTTAATTGTGGTTTTAAACTATCACTTATGGTCGGATCATGACAAACACTCGGCAAACAGTGGAACATTTCACTAATCTGCCATGGAAGAGTGGGACAAAGTTTCTGAGCTGTTTTTATCAGCTTGAAATGCACAGCTGCATTTTTTGTAATAGCCATGATTTAAGAAAGAAAACAGATTATTTTTAGCTGTCTGGTGACGAGCACTTGGCTACCCCGTTACAAATGCTAAACAAGTGGCCAACAACAGCGCTGAACTCTTTAGTTTCTCAACGACGTCAACTCGGTTCGGGAGGTCACTGCCGTCACTCCTACCACACCCATGTCAGAGCATATCACAGTATTCAGACACCAGCTAGCGACGACTGGGTTTCTCTATGCTATCGTGGGAGTTTAAGGGGTGAACCGCAGTATATCTGACGTTCGCTGTGTAAAAGCATTATCTGCAGTGTGAATCTCTCACACCCGACAAACGGAGTCCTCCTTTTAGATATGTTTAAACTGAAAGCGGTGATTTTGTGTCTTGTTTGATCTACCGTATCATCAATTCACCGTGTTTTGCCAGAGCGCTGTTTCAAGATAGCCAGCAGCTGAAAACAGCTAGCCTGGAAAGATAGCGCTCTCCCGCTCTCCAATGCCTCACAGCTTCCTCAGTTTACTTTTGTTTAAATCAGGGCTGTAACTAACATTAACCCACTTCTTTCTTTCACTTTCGTTGCTCGAGAATGCACTAATACTAACATATGACGGTTTGGCGCTGTAACACGGCGCTGCAGACGTGATTTAACACCGCTAAAGTTGTTAGGATGCATGGAAAGAGGTGAGCTCACTGTAGGTCAGTACAGTTACACCACTGACCTCGTCACTCACACTCGGTCACAGGAGAACAGATCGCCGATAACATCCACTCAATCAGGGAATGTATAACTCCGCGTTTCAGCCGTTGCTAAAGTATATTTGGCGACCTTTTCTTTACTCGTGGCCCCCTCCCTCTCTAATCAAGTCGAAAAATTCGGAAGTGCGCCCGCTCCTGGCGACAGCAGAGTAGTGTCGCTTTCCTTGCAGTAGAAAATGCCACCAGGGCTTTCGCTAAAACGTGGAAGTGTGAGAATGGTGTATTATATCGAACATTTATCGAACATGTCTTATCGCTCTATCGAGGAAAAGTTATACACAGTAGGGCTGGGCGATAAAACGATAACGATAAGTATCGCTATCGTTTTATCGCCCAGCCCTACTGTGCAGGTATTATACTATACGAAAAGCAAACCCCTACCAGGTTTAATACATCTTCAAGTGGCCTTACATTACTGAAAGATCTTCCATCTGAAGGACAGAACTGAATCACTACATGCAATGATGCTTAAGAGAAAGAGGCAAAACAACTTTTGTTGGTTAATCTGAATATAGCATGTATGCTGGCTAGCATAATAACTAATCCATCTTAAGTTTTAAGAGAATGTGATCTGTGAACTTCCATACTTCCATGCTGCAACTTACTTAAGTCATTCTGTTCTCTTTTAAGCACTGCGTTTACTGTATGTAACACTTTGGCCCATTAGACTGAATGTTTTTCGGTAATGAAAGGCTTATTATTATTTGGAGCCGTATCAAACTTTATGATGCTGAGAGCTGCAGGAGAACACACTGTAGTATGACTGTGCATGACAAAAAGCAAAACTGACATGCAAAGTCACACACATAAGGTTGGAAACGAGTTTTTTTTTTCATTTACTGCACTATTTTTATTCACTTTTGTCCATGTTTTTTCTCAGGATGAGAAAAAAATCTCAAGTCCGTGTCGAGTCACGAGTCATTTAAGGGCGTATCTGAATCAAGCTGTGAGTCAGTCAACATGTGACTTGATTGTAACTCAAGTCCGAGTCACTGACTCGAGTCCCCATCTCTAATATCAGCACATCATAGATTCTATGATCAGCCCAAAAAACGGCAAACCATAAACAGCCCCAACCCCAAGACAAAAAAACTTGGACTTCAACATCTTTAGCCATTCTAAAGTCACATAAACAGCTCCATGGAATGCGTAAACCAATTCCAGTGCTGGGGATTTTTTTGTACTTTTCTTTGATCTAAGTTTATCAGTTAATTAAGCCCATCATGAGCTACTCCAGCTATGATACACAGAAATGTGCAGAGCGTGGTTACTGGAACACATGACAATGTTACCTGCAGCAGAAATGCTCTATGATAGTAAAGGTGGGATGTTCAGGAAAAAAAATACGTCAAAGAAAGACTGCATAAACATTTAGTTTAGCAACACATGACAATGTTGCCTGTAACAGAAATGAACAATTTAACACCCATCACACTAAAGGAGGGAATTTTAAAGGAAAAATGAGGAAAAGAAGAAGGACATTAAAGGAAAATACACTGGGTTTAGCAAAGTAAGTTGCATGTGATTTTAAAACAATAATAATGTTGCCTGTAACAGAAATAAACACCATAACACTGTAACAGTTCATGACAAAAATAAAGAAAAAATGTACATCATAACATCCATGAGAGCAAATCTGTAAAGTTAAAGATAAAAATATAAAAGGAAAAAACAAGTAAGAAAAAAATGCCAAAGAAAGACGCTTTTGGTTTAGCAATGCATGATACCTGTAACAAATTAACAGCATAACCAAATGTGCATGCTCAACAAACACGCTTCAGATGATGGAGTTGATGATGGTGGTGACGGCGTAGGAACATGCTATTCTCTGTCCTACCTGTAAGAACTGGCAGGTGCGTCCCTGCTGGCAGGTCTGTGCTTTAACTAGCGCTTTATCGACACTGACCGCCCCCTTCTGGTAGACCTCCCGTGCCCTGCTGACTGTCAGCGTGCTTGACCAGGAGCTTTTCTTTACAAGCGGCCCTGCCTGTTCCGCCCCCAGTGGGCTAGGCAGTGCCACCACAGCACCTGGTGGCCCAGAGCAGGCAGCACACTTGCCTACGTCGTTATTGCTTCTAGAAGTCTTCAGGGACGACCTGCCTCCGCCAAGTGTATTGTAGGCGTGCTCTAGGAAATAGTGTGATTGCGACTTGTCCGGATGCCGGCCCATAGTCATGACACCAGAGGGTTGCTGGTGGTGCTGGTGATGGTGGTGGTGGCGGCGGTAAAGGCAGATGTCACGGTCTAGGGTGTCATCCGAGCTCCAGTAGCCGGAGACAGGCGAGCGTGGATGAGGCTTGGGCTCTGAACGGCTCCTCTCTTTGCTCTTGGGGCGCTTGGCCTGGCCGTGCGGCCGGTGCAGGGTAGCCACGTTGGGGTGCGAGGCAGAGGCCGTGGGCATGGGCTCGGCAGGGTCACTGCCATTCAGGCTGCGCTGACTGGGGCCCTCCAGCGAGTGGGACTTGGTAAAGAGTTTCTGGACAGAGTGGACAAGGTGACGAATGCGGCCAGGGCTGTCGCTGCGCTGGTGCTCCAGAGCAGCCGTACGCTTGTACTGCAGTGTGTGGTAGCCATCACGTCTAGGTGGCCTCTGCCGCTCAAACTGCTCAACTAGGGTGGCAGGGACAGCTGGGGGACCACAGGAGGGGGGTCCCGTGTAGGGCACTACCGCCACACACTCCTCCTTCAGCTGGTGGTGCGAGGCATACTGCCGACGGGGAAAGGTGCTGCTGGCTGGGGGGTCAGCCGGGCATATGGAGTAGAAGGAGTGGTCGGCAGGGTGGCCGTCAGGCGGGTCAAGGAGAAAAGTGCGGCGGTCTGGACGCAGGGTCAGAGAGTCGTAGGAGGGGTCACAGTGAGCCAGAGTGTGGTGGTGGCTCCGGCTTGAGGACAAGCCTTTCATAGTCATCCTGACAACACAGACACCCTCTCACACACCCCTCAAGTGTGAGCACAGGTCCTGCTGCAGCACTCTACGACTGAGAGAGAGGGAGAGAGAGAGCAAGAGCGAGAGAGAGAGAGAGATGTGGAGGGACAGACATGAAGTCAAAGAATGGGGAAGAGAGAGAGACAGATACAGTGACAGAGAAAGACAGAAAGAAAGAAAGCAACGGAGATGAACAAAGACATACATAGAGAGGTAAAAGAGAGAGAGAGAAAAGAAACAGACACAATGGCAAAACAGGAAACAAAAAAATGTTGTGGAGTTAAGACAAGGCAAAATGGAAAAAGATAATAATGAGAGAGAAAGTGAGAGAAAGTGAGAGAGAGAGAGAGAGACAGAGAGAGAGAGAGAAAGAGAAAGAAGGAGAGAAAAAATAAACATAAGAGAATGCCATACCATATACACAACACTGACGTCTACTGACTAAGAGTTCAGAGGCCCAATGATTACATGCACTGGCAGACAACAAAGACTGATCCAGTGGCATAACTACAATGCAGACAGGGCAATTGTACTGGGGCCCATAGCACGGGGTCCCCTAACATTGGACCCCTTGTCACTATTTTTGCAATTTTATACCGATGACTCATGACTGTATACAATGTGGACAGTTATGCACACTAAACTACCCACAACCCCACCCCTCTTGTTGTCCTGCACTTTATCTGTGGTTAGTTAAATATAGTAGTCACTTGGCTTCATTTGGAACCGATCTTCAACCTTGTCTTCCGACATTAATGTTTACGTAGGTGGACTAGATTGCACTCGATAGAAAACAAAAGAATCTGGGGGGAGGGTGGACGCATAAAGAGACAGAGTGCAAAAGACAGATTAAGAGAGAATGAGAGACGAGAAGAAAACAGGGACTAAAGAGCAGAGAGAGAGAGAGAGATTAACACATTTTGCTCTTTATTATACTGTATGGGTGCGTCATGTACAGAATGGACTTAATTCTCTGAAGTCAGTGAGAGAGGAGAGAGAGAGAGAGAAAGGCTGTGTTCAGGTCACAGAGTAATGACGGGCCACACAGAAAAATGACTAAGCTGTTACTGGGTCTACTCACACTGTTACAAAACAGATGCACACACAGTGTTTATTTCCTGAGAAGAGCCACTAAAAGAGAAATTCCACAAAACTTTTCTGCATATTTCAATTGTTGAGATGTAAAGAAAGTCATTTAGAGCAGTCTGTGAAATGATGCTGCATTTTAAAGGAATTTCAATTTCTTTACAGTGGGGGTGAAAGGAACCAGGAGTCGCGGTGGCTATAGTGCCAATACAGCCATTTTATTTACAATCCAAAACCACCAGTGAACCTACAAGTATCTTCTGAGTTTTATATTTAATGTTCATCTAATGTTGAATAACTGTAGATTAAGTTTGCCTTACAATGCTCTTTGCCATATACTGATTTTAAAAAATATGTTTTGGTAAAAACATTCTTTCAAAACTATCCTAAAATGATGTCTTGGGCATCAGGCAGTGCCTTTTCATTTTAACAGAGGAACTAAATTTTCAAGAAATAATTGTGAGGTGATTAGCTAGATAATCCAGAGCTAGCGTTTTTAAAAATAGGGTTCAAAGATTTATTATTTATTATTTGCTTTGTTCATAATGGCCATTTTGCCATTGTCACTGAATTTTCCACTGTATTGTACCTTTTAGAACTTCAGATGTCTGGTTCCTATGACCACTAGTGTGAACAATTCTGATTTGGTAAGTTTATGTAGAACAGAGCATTTCAGGTTCGGCCAAAACATAAATGTATACAATGTCCCCCTTCATAGTGACCCAGTGCAAAACTAAAACAAGTAAACTCTGGACATCCATCTTAGTTACTGACTACATTAGGGTTCAGGGGAAAAGGGTGTAAAGTTGATTTTTAGCCAATCCATCTTTAACTGGAGCATCAGAGGAAGCAGGTGCTGGCAAACAGGGCAGAAAAACATGAAACCACACACTCGTGTTCACTGCCCAAACCTTAGAGTGAACATCCTGGACAAAACCATTAGACAAGATATGTTGATGAACTCCACGCATGAATATCTGCTCTTGCTGACTGCACAGACTCAAAGCAGCACAGCACTCACACACATACAAACACACACACACACACACACACGATAAAAAAGTCATTTTTATAAAAGTTGATTCGGTAATCAATACTGTCCTCTTACCCCCTGACAACAGATTTGTGACCATGTCTCTGGCCATTGTATGTCTTTTGGAAGTGTGTGTGTGTGTGTGTGTGTGTGTGTGTGTGTGTGTGTGTGTGTGTGTGTGAGTGAGTGAGAGAGAGAGAGAGAGAAAGAGCTGGGATGGTGGGCAACGAAATAGGGCTGCGTGATTCCAGAAATTCTGGAGTCAACTCCCATTCCAATTCCAAGTTATAGGAATTAATGGAGTTAGGGGTGTGCCTAAATACAAAAAAAAACAAAAAAACAACATTATCCATTTGTTTATGTATTTCATGCAACCCATAGCAAGACAACAGTATTCCCACATAAAAAAAACATGACAATGTTAATGAACTTTTAGACAATGAGAGATGTTGGGTGATGTTAATTACATTAATACCACATTTATTGTCCAAACCTAATTCCAAAAAAGTTGGGACAGTATGTGAAATGCAATGATCTGTAAATCCATTTTGACCTGTATTTAAACGAAAGCAATAAACACACACACACACACACACACACACACACACACACACACACACATGCGAAAGCAATACAAAGACAATATATTTTATTTTACTGCTTACTTCAATGCATTTTTGCAATGAAATAAGCACCCAATGAGCGCTGGGATAGGCTCCAGCATCCCCCACGACCCAGAAGGATAAGCACGTGAGATAATGAATGAATGAATGTCTGTCATGGTATGGGGGGTATTAGTGGCTAACTTGCACATCAGTGAAAGCACCATTAAAACTGAAAGATATCTACACATTTTGGAGCAAGATGCTGCCTTTTAAACAGCGTTTTGTTTCTGGGACATTCAAAATCACAATGCAATGAACATTTGGGTGCAAGAGTCATCTCCCTGTCTCCTATTAAAAACATGTGGTGCATTATTAAGTGCAAAATATGATGAAGGTTGCAAAAAAAGGTGGCCAAAAAAAATCAGCTTTCAAAACTTGATAAATTGTTAACAATGGTGTTAAAAAGAAAGATGATGTAGCACAATGTTAGATATGTTCCTGTCCCAACTTTTTGGAATGTATATTTGTATATTATATTTGGAACGAGGATATACAATAAAGTTCATAAGGTAAAACATTTTTGTGCTGTTTTTAATTTAATACAAGTCAAACAGAATTTCCTAATCACTGCTTTCTGTTTTTATTGACATTTTACATAGTCCCCACATTTTTTTGGAATTAGGTTTGTATCTAACAAAGATTGTTCTAGAAACACAGCTGTGCTGGCAAAAGATGCTCTGTGCTGCAGACAGATATCACATCTGTAAAAAAAACGCATCTATGGTATGGTATACATTCTAGGACATTCTCACGCCGCAGCATTAGGTTTCAGGCTGAAAAACGACTTCGGTTTCAAGAAAAATAAATAAGTAAAAACTTGTCTTAGCTCTCATACAACCCTAAAAAAGTTGGGACACTGTGCAAAATTAAAATACAAACAGAAAGCAATGATGTGCAAATCATTTAAACCCTATGTTTTATATTAGAGAAGTCAGGGATAAGTACTAGGTGCATTTTCACCCCTTAAAACTACCTAGTACCCAGTGTGATTTTTTCCAATGTACTGTCATACTTAAAGATGTGACATTACACTGAAATGTAATTATGGTAATGTCAGTTTATGCTGGTACTTACAACCTTGTGACAAAAGATTATGGACAACCAGTCTTGGTTTTCGGACTGGTCCCTTGCATACAGAGATCTTGTAATGATGTTATGTACTGTAGATGATGAAATCTCCTTTGTTCTTTGCTATTTTTCAATAAGAAACATTATTCTTGAATTGTTGCCCTATTTGCCTGTATAGTCTTTCATGGAGTGGTGAACCCCTCCCCTTCTTTACTTCTGAAAGCCTCTCTGGGTACTCTTTTTACACCCAGTCATGCTACTAACCTGTTCCCAATTAACCTAAATTGTTTTGAGATGTTCCACCAGGTGGAATATATCACACAACTTACTAGTCTTTTGTTGCCCTGTTCCAAACTTTTTTGTATTGCTGGCATCAAATTTAAAATGGGCATACGTTTTTCAAAAACAATAAAATTTCTCCGTTTCAAAGTTTCATGTGTTGTCTTTTTTAATTACATATAGGGTTGAAATTATTTGCACACCTTGGATTCTGTTTTTATTTACATTTTGCAGAGCATCCCAACTTTTTTGGAAAGAGTTGTAAATCAGTCAGAATAGGTTCTTTCAAATGGCCAAATGAAGAGGCAAAATGGCTTCAGAAAACAAGGCAAAGGGATAAGCTAAGTGGCCACAAACTCTCAGAGAGTATAGTTCATGTGACATTAACAGTTCTGTTCTTTCTTACAAGATTACTTAGTTTTGTTTTGCTGAGGTTTTACTGAAGTGCAGTTTTGCTGAACTGCACTTAATGATGTTCTTAAATTTGACAAAGATTAAGACTAAACTCACATTGAACCACCGTGTTTTCTCCTGCATCCGCTTCAGTTGAAGGGACCATCATACAAATTACAGGACGAAACTGTAAAGCAAAGGAAAAAAATATCCCCCAACTCGGTTTGATCATTTACTGCGGTTACACAAATAAGAGGTTAATAATAATAATAAATAATATAAAATATATAGTATATATATAATAATAATAAAAATGTTTCCAGCACAGGTCTAGATGGAGTTGATTTTTGTTTTCAAAAAAAAGTACATTAAATTTGTGATATACTATTATGCTTTATGTCATGAATGGCTAGGGATTTTGACATATCAACTTCATACACTACCACTTTGATCTTAAGGGACACAAAGTGTCAGTTTTATTGACCTATTAGATTTTAGCAAGATGCTAAAAGAGAACTCTAGCTAAAC